CCCGTCGGCAGCCTGGCCCCTCAGACTGAGATCGCTGCAACAGCCAGGTGGTGACTCTGTCTTACAACAGGAAGGGGAGGAAACCCGATTTACTGAGCCAATGCGCGACTGCGTGCCAAGCACTCTGCTGGCTGGTCTCACGCACTTATAACCTGTGCAGGGGGAGAGTGAGGCTCAGAGGGTTCAGCCTCTTGCCTAAGCTCACATAGCAAGCAGAGAAGCCGTCGTCATACCCCAGGTCCCTCTGGCTCCACTGCACCACGCTGGGGGAACACAGTGCCAGTGTCACAAGGCTCAGGGTAGTGGTCAAGTGGGGGCCACACAGTAGGGCCTCAGGAAAAGCCATGAGTAGTAAAGACTTTAGTTTGCTGCCCTAAGCCTTCCCACTTGGGTCCTTTCCTCTGCATGAAGATGTTCCTTCCTTCTCACCTCAGGCATCTGACGCCTTCCGATCTTCCCCAACTCCTTTTCAAAACTTCTTCTCCGAGAGGACCTGCTAAACTGGATCACAGCGGGTGTGAATGGCTGATAAGCCTTAACATGGTTCACTCACCCGGCAGTATCTGGCTTTTAACTTTGGCTTTTCACAGTCAAAGGAATGACTCTTTCATGGTGTGATTTCATGCATCAGGGATCAGTGGGAAGGTATTTTGGGTGGGAAGGTAGAGAGGCCCTCCAAGTATCTTTACCAATCAGTGATTCTTTACTTAGAAGACTGGCTCTGCCCAGAACTTACAGCAAATGTGGAAACCTCAGGAATTAAACAGAACAAAATAAGGCCAGTCAATGTTTTCACTAAACACAAATTAACCTTCTTACCATGCGTTTTTGGGAACTCAGAGGTGGTTCCTCCGGAGTCTGGAATCCAGACCACCGCTCTGTTCCCAGCAGCCCTCCAGCCCTCTGTGAGTTTTCTGTGACACGCTTGAACGGGGGAGCCTTGTTGTTTCGCTGTTTTGACTTGAACCAGTTTCATCTCTGCTATCCACGTAAACAGGCGTTTGTCTAAAACACACCCCTCCTTTGTGGTTAGGACAGTGGGGTCTCCATCGTAAGACGGAGGCAAGAGACGGCACTGACAAGAGACGGCAGCAGCAGTGCTTGGGGGCAGCCCCTGTCTGCGCCGCACTCCCTGCCTCGTGACTGGAATGCATCTCGTGCAGGGATGCAGGGTGTCAGGGAGGTGTCTCACTCACGTGCCTTGTTCCAGTTTCCCTGCACAGGGCGGGGGTGAGGGAAGAGCACAGAGCCAAGTGGGTCTCTCCCAAACACCGGGCAGCTGTTCTCACCCTCTGGCTCACGCTCTCCCACACCACGTCTGCTCAGGGGCGGACCGTTTCTATGACAACATTGAGGACATGATTGGCTACCGGCCATGGCCCCTGGTGAAGATCTCCTGGCTCTTCCTCACCCCTGGACTTTGCCTGGTATGTGCCCACCCAGCTGCCGCTCTATTCCTTCCTGCCCCCGGAAGACTCCAGAGATGAGGGAAAGGATGGCTCTTTCCCCACCCGTCCCGTCTACCGTGGGGCCTGGTCCATTTCCCGTTCTCTGTTGGCTTCCCTGCTCTTCTTTCCGGGCCGTTTCATCCATCCATGAGTAGAATCTTATCCTACCTCCTGCTCCATCCCTTCCTCACAGTGCCTCCCCCTTCTACCTGATTTCTCAGTGGTTGGTCTCCTGTCTGTCTGTGCTTCTCTTCTGAGCCCCTCCCCGCTTTGTATCACCTCCTGTCTCCATCTGTGATGTGAATGATGGCTTGGCCTGGGATTTGCAGGGGCTTTTGCTCCTCCAGCTTACAGACGTGCTGCGGTGCACCTGACTTGCCCTCTGTCCTTGGCTGTACGTAGCTGCAGGGAGGGTTTCAGTCTCTATCTCACCCATGGCTGCCCCTTCCTCCTCCCAGGCCACCTTCTTCTTCTCCTTGAGCAAGTACACCCCCCTCAAGTACAACAACGTCTACGTGTACCCGCCCTGGGGATACTCCATTGGCTGGTTCCTGGCTCTGTCCTCCATGGTCTGTGTCCCACTCTTCACCGTCATCACCCTCCTGAAGACTCAGGGTTCTTTCAAGAAGGTAGGTGGTGCGGGGGAGAGTGACCTCTTAAGGGAGGGCACTGAGAGAGGCTGGACGTGGGGCAGGACACACGGCTGGGGCCAGGGAGCAGACACATACTCTGTGGGGCAGCCCTTCAGTCTCACAGAATCTTAATGAGACAAACGTTGAAGGCCAGTCCAGTGGCTTTTCAGAAATGTTCTGAAAAGTTCTAGAGTCCTAGACCTGCAGAATCTGACCTCCTGTGGATGAGCTGGGCAGGCTAACCAAGGGCAAACTGCTGAGAGGTTCAGGAGAAAACTAAGTCACAAACGGGTAGGAAGGTGCCCAGACACAGAAGGTTTACAGACTGTAGATTTCTTGCCCTCGGAAAACTGGTAACCAGCAAGCACAGTTCACTCCACACACAGGCTCCTGGCTTTTCTTCTTCCTGGGGACACACCCAAGAGGCTCCCTGTTTAGAGTTTGGGACATGTCCTCCTGGAAGGAGCTATAGCCAGTGACCCACAAAGGCAGAAATCTATCTTGCCTATAAATAATAGAAAACCCAATCTACAACAGTTTTAGCAAATAGGCTTATTTGTTTTTTACATTTCAAGAAGGTCAGAGATTAGGGCTGCCGGTATTTGGTTCGGCTGCTTAAAGAAGCCCGTAGGGACCAGACTTTTCCTGTATTTCTACACTTCCATCCTGAGAATGCTGTTTTTTCATCATCATGTTGATCACCTCATGGTCACAAGAAGGTTGTCATGATTCCGTCATCACATCTGCATTCAAGGCAAGAAGAAGGAGGTACCACTGATAAGAAGAAAAATAATAGATACTTATTGAGCACATAACAAAAGTAACAATCGGAAAACAAAAACAGATATTTATCAATTACCTACTCTGGGCCAAGCACTGTTCTGTGAGATGTGTTCTACTATTATTCCCAATTTACAGGTGAGAATATTGAGGGGATTAAATTAACAGAGGGGTTCTGTGAGTGACCTTAGATGGCACAGGTCGGTAGCAGAGCCAGAACTGGAACCCAGGCAGTGCACACTCGTTCACAGTCACGGTATTATTGCCTCCCCTCTCACCTCAAATGGTTCACTCATTTACTCACGCATACGGTGCGGTGCTGGCCATGTGCTCCGCTCTGGGCTGGGCCCTGGGGATGCTCACACGAGGAACCTTCTGTGCCTCCCTCACCAACGGCTCCAATCCCTGCCTCTTCTCTCCACAGCGCCTGCGTCAGCTCATCACCCCTGACTCCAGTCTGCCACAGCCCAAGCAACACCTCTACTTGGATGGCAGCGATGGCCGGGACTTTGGGCCCTCCCCAGCAAAGGAAGGACTGATAGCCGGGGAGAAAGAGACCCATTTGTAGGGTGTAGCCAGAGGTCAGGCGGCTCCTAAGCCGGGAACCTAGGTCAGGGCCACCCTCCATTCTCAGCGGACAGCCTCTGCCTCTGTCTCCTGCCACCGTCCTGCTGGGAACCTCTGGAGAGCCACAGGCACCCCCAGCTGGAGGCCAGGCTCCTCTCCTGTGCTAGCTGGAGCAGCTCCTTCCCCTGTGCTGACAGCACTACCACTGGGACGCGCCATGTTGGGAAGCCATCCCTGTGGGGCGGCACCATCGTTTTTATAAAGGGGGGTCTTTTTGGAGGCCACCATCTGATTGTAACGCCTCGAGTTATGAGGAATCCGCTGTGGGGGTGGCTCTTGTTAGAGCTTACTGCATTTGTACACCGGGAGAGGAGCTCTAACTGGAATGCGCACTGCCGTCCGATGTGGAGAGCCTGATGGGACATACCCTGTTGGAAGTGACACTGAGCAACTGCGCTGGATCGGAGGTTCCCTTAGGGGTTCTTCCTTAGGCTTAACCACAGAGGCAAAAGCCTTCACACGCCGACAGGCTGGAGTCTCCTCCGAGTCTCTCATGGCATGTCCAGCCCCCGCCCTAGTTCCACACTGTTCTTGTGGTGTTTCATCAGCTCCTGGAGCATTGGAATGGAGGGGGCTTAGGAGATGATTCCTAGACTTCACAGACACACGGCATGCCTCCCGTACTGTGCATTCCACTGCCCAAGGCCGACATTGCTAACTGATCACAGACTCTTTCCCACCTCACAATCCTTCCGAATGCGCTCCAGGCAGCACCGTTTGGCATCCTGCTTCTAACGCAAACCGCTGACTTCATGGATGAAGAACCTGGAGACCAAAGAGACAAAGAGACTTTTTCAAGTTCACATGGCTTCTTGGGGGCCAGAGATATGACTAAAACCTTATCTCCTTTGCTCAGGCCAGTGTCTACCCATTAACCCCCCTGCCTTAGTTAACAAGTGTGTATGGATTGCCTGCCATGTGTGCTGGTCTCCTTTGCTCCATTTCTGTTGAGCTTTGCCTCTTGGGGTGGGGGAAGAGAGGCCCCCTCTGTTGGAGGTGGTGAGGAGCTGTCCCCATTCTAGTGCCCCTTCCCCTTGGTAATCCCGCCATCAGCCCATCATCACCTGGCCCGATGTCCTCCCAGATCCTTTTGTTCTTGTCCTTGCCACCTCTTCTTCCCCCACGGAATGCATGGAGTCTGCGAGAGTCTCCCACTGAGCGGGTGTGGGGGTGCTCTCCTTAGCTGCCACACGTGGTTCCATCCCTTTCTCACCCACTCCTCTTCCCACACCCCTACCAAATCCCGCATACCTCTTCTCTGGCTGGAAGGCTGCCTGGAGGAGGAAGGCAGGGTTTGGAGAAGTTCAATGCTCTCGTGTTCGGAAGGGAAGGGAGGAGCGGGACTGGGGCTGGGGAGGGAATTTCGGGGCATTTTCCGGGGACAAGGGAGCCCCCCAGGGTGAGGGGGATGATTGGTATATAGATGCCACCTGCAGCCCCCGCCCAGTGGCTGCAGGAAAATTCAGGTCTGGCTGGGGTGAGTCCCGTCCTCGACGGCCCTGTGCCATCTCAGGCACCCTTAGCTTCCGACCTGTTTCCCTCTGGACTGCTCTGCGCACCTGTGCGCTCGCTCCCTGGACCGGCTAGTGGGGAGACAAGGAGGCCCAGGGCACAGCGCTGGAGGGCACCGGCTTCGGCCAGACGCTGTCAGTGACGAGGCCGGGTCTGGCGGAAAACAAGAGGCGAGGCCG